CTCATTCATTCATTTATTCACTCATTCATTCATTTATTTATTTATTTTTAATTAATTGGCAGCTCCCAAATCCAGCTCCTGCCTGAAGCCTGCAAAGAGAGACCTGTAGACCCCCAGGATATGGATGTTAAGGCACCACCTGTGCTGGTGAAGGGTTTGGATCATGTGAAAACTAAGTCCTTTCACAGAATCAGAGAATGGTTTGGATTTTTGGATTGGAAGGGATTTTAAACTCACCTCATCCCAACCCCCTGCCATGGGCAAGGGCACCTTCCACTAGCCCAGGTTGCTCCAAGCCCTGTCTAACCTGGCCTTGGACTCTTCCAGGGATCCAGAGGCAGCCACAGCTTCTCTGGGCAACCTGTGCCAGGGCCTCTTTCCCAATATCCCATCCATCCCTGCCCTCTGGCAGTGGGAAGCCATTCCCTGTGTCCTGTCCCTCCCTCCCTTGTCCCCAGTACCTCTCCAGCTCTCCTGGAGCCCCTTTAGGCCCTGCAAGGGGCTCTCAGCTCTCCCTGGAGCCTTCTCTTCTCCAGGGGAACATCCCCAGCTCTCTCTACACCATGTTTGTCTGGAAGGAGATATCTCAGTGATGGACTTGCCCCTTTTCCCATTTTTTTTTTAAATGACAACTCCCAAAGAACTTGTGTGTCCAACTCCAAGGGAAAAGCACGTGGCCTAAGTCTTCCTCCTCCAGTTTCAGTGGAATAAGACACAAGAATTCCAGCTCTAAATGACTTGCAGCAGGTCCCTTTCCCCTGCTGAGGGATAATGTGAGCCTCGTGCACTGCACTATTTCAGCCCAAATCAAAGAGGTTAATGACAAAGCTTCCCTCTGATCTTCACACATTTTAAGGGCTATTTAAATTAAATTCTCCTTTCAAAAAAAGTTAGCGTGAGCCAAACTTTTATAAACTCCTTTCTTTTCATGCATATGTTTCTTTGAAGGTCTTTTTTTTTCAGGCAAAAAAAAAAAGATTCCCTAACAAAGTCACCCTCCCCCTGCTGCCACTGAAGAATCATCCCCGTGGATAAGGCTGTTGGGAACAGAAACTGTGCAGCGTTCACAGAAGGCAGAGGGTCACGTGCCTGCTTTCCACCAACCTGATTGAACAATTAAATTGTATTTCTCTTTAAAAGGGATAAAAAAAAAAAGGTAAAATAATAAAAAAAAAAAAATCCAAATGCAGATCTTGCTGTGGTCTGGGATTCAGGAAGATTAATGAGCTCCCTAAAAGGGAACAGCAGCTTATAATAGAAAAGAGAGGTGACTACATTTTTAACATAAAGTTCAAAGGGAAACTTTTCTTGATGGTTTAAACTGCAAAGACCCTCAGCAAAGTCATCTCATCTATTGTCCCTGTTGACTCCCTCCATTGACTCTTTGTCCCCTGTTGCATCACGTCCAAGCTCTTCCAACTCAGCCAGAAAGGGCAACAGAATCCGGGCTCCATCCACACCAATTCCTGTGTTTTGTCCTTTACTTCCTTTGTCCATAGGCTTTGTTCTTCCCAGCCTCTGGAATCCTGCAAATCCTGCACAGCTCTCCTGCATCCTTCCCTCTGGAAAAGGCTCCCAACCTCCTGCTCAGCACAAATGTTGCCTCAGGGTTTGTGTCCTGTCGATAAGGAGCTGCTTTTCCAGGAAATCCGGGCTGTGCCCGTGAGTGAGGAATTCCAAACCCGGGACAGGAGCTGCTTATGAACAAACTCTCAGTTCAGTCTGACAGCAAACAACCCCAAAAATCCCCAAAAAACCTCAGCCTGGAGGAGGACACAGCCATGGGGGTGAGTCAGTTCTGTTCTTTGCTCTGTTTTAAAGGCAACAGGGACAACGGGGTGTGGAGACAACCGGGAACGACGGAACACGACGGGACACGTCCCGAAGAGACCTGGAATTCTGGAGGGCTCAGAACTGTGGAGAATGACTTAAACCTTCCTAAAAAACTCAAGAGTTCACAACATCTCCCCAAGTTGGGAGACTTCTCTCAGCTAACCCCGGGCACGTGTGACAGCTGTGAAGGTGAGAACCTGAACCTCAGGGGGTGAAGAGCTGCACGTTCAACACCTCCCAGGTGTGTGCAAAAAGTGAGATCAGAATTTAAATGGCAGGTGTCTCCACTTCACTCTGTTTTCACATCGTGGTGTGGGGCATCTGTCAACTCCAGCACATCTGCACCTCAGGTTCCTCCTTCACAGTCCACCCAGAACCATCTGAATATTCACCACGGAATTGTTAATCCCACAATCATCGATACCAAGACCACCAAAGTGAAACAATCTGCCACAAGAACACTCTCTCTGTCCCTCCAGGTTTTTTTTTGCACACCCTGGTGGGTTTAACTTGTCTCTCAGGACAAGTTATAAAAGGAGGAAGGGAATAAAAAGTCATCCAAACAATCTCTTGTAAATTATAAAACACTCTCAATTAAAAGCCAACTGGAAATTATCATGGGCAAGAGCTCGAGGAGAAGTTCTACCCTTTGCCATCATATTTTAAGAGTATGAATTATTTTCTTGTTATGATTACCCCAGTAAGAAACTGGAATAGATGACCCAGAATTTAGTCCTGCTGTAGGTTATCATGGCAACCTTAAGACATCCCCCTTGATTTTGCTGCCAAACCCAACCCTTTTGTGAAAGGAAAAACACATGGAATGATGCCATGCCTGGAGGACACCTCCCTGTGGATATAAAGCATTTTCCACAGGGAATATAAACCAGCAAGAGCAGCCCAAGTCCTCAAATTCACCTTTTGGAAACACTCTTCCAGTGCACAAAAGACAAAGAACTGGTCACTTTAGTCCATCCAACTTCAAATAAGAGCTGGCTGAGCTCAACTCCCAGAGCAATCCAGGGGGAGTATCCCACCCAGCACGTGATGTGAGGAGATAAATGGCAGATAAGTATCCAAAGGAGCTCCAAAAATCCCAACCCAGTGCTCAGGGTGAGGTTTCCACTTCACCCACTGTCTTACAAGTATCTTTTTCAGACCTTGACCTCCAGCTGGAAACAGAGGGAATAAAGACAAACCCTGTTGCTTCCCAACTTAATAATAAACAGAGCTTCAAACTAGTGGCAAAGCAGAGGGGGATCAATACCTGGCACGGCATGGATGGGATATTCCAGCCCCTGCAAAGGACAATTATCCAGTTAACACATTCTCCCTTTCCATACCTTGCAGTTCCCCGCTCCTGCTGTACAGCTCCCTCCTCTGCTCCCGCAGGTAGGCACTCATGCTGATGGCGTGGGAGGAGGACTCAAACCTGGAATTCAACAGGAAGAAATCAATCCAGCCGGCCCTAAAAGCATCCTTCAGTCAGCCCTAAACAAGAGCAAAACTAATCAGATGAAAATTCCCGCGGAATTCGGGACCGATCAATTATTACGCGTTTATCTTACGGCTCTAACGGTCCACGAGGACCAACCTGAGAGGCAGAGACAAATATTTCCCAACTGTTGGAGCCTCACGAACAGGATTTTTGGCACTCATGGTGAAAGGGCACAGGCTGGGCACTGATCTGACCCCCTCAACGACTCCAGGACAGTTCTGGCCACCACAAGTGTCCCATGGCCAAGGGCCTTGTGCCCGACCTGCCTGAGCTGGAAATATTCCATGTGGCCAAGGGCTGCTGCTCCAGGCACTGGGAACGCTAGCCCTGGTGGGCACTGGGAAACAGGGAGAAAGGGAGCACATGGTGGGGATAAAACATCTCCCAAGGGACGAGACACCTTCAAACAGCCCTGGTGGACACCAGACTGGGAGGGGAACTTTCTGCACAAAAACACCTCAAAATGGTGATGATCTGCTGCATCCCCTTCCCAATCCCCTTCCCAATCCTGCTGTTCAGGAATATTGAATCAGCCTCAGTGGGGCCCAGAGGGACACTGGGAACAGCAGCATCACGCCAGAGAAAAGGGAAAAAAGCATTACACAGCTTCCCCAGCGCTGGGGTTATGACTATTAATGAGGCTTTTCTGCTTTAATTTGGATTGTGTGAGGATTACTGCAACTGAACCAATAATGATTTATCAAAATACAACAAACTCTTCAGACTTTAATTAAATGAGCAGTAAATTCTTGTCTCTGTATTTACAACGTTCTCCCTCTTGGCCACAGTGAGATATTCAGTGTATCATTATCCCCACGGCCCAGAGATCTTCTCCAGGCATCAAAACCACATCTCACCCCTTTTTTTCCCCCCAGACATCCAGTTTCTCTCCCCTATTTCCCCTCCTCTGCCATCTCCTGAATCTGCACTTCTCCACATTCCTATTTCCACTTAAATCCTCTACCCTTGTACCTCCTTTCCCCTGCAGATCCTCCCACAAAGATGTCAAAGAAATGTTAGTTTTGCACAGAATTACACGTAATTTTGCAAGTCTACAATTCCCCCCTTTCCTGCCCCAACCCCAATTCACACCTTGCAAATCAAGCTACCTTTGGGAAGAGAAAAAAAAGCCACGTTTATGATGGCACGAAACATCCAAATTCCCAAAACACCCTTTATCTGAAGCTTTTTTTTTTTTTCCCCAAACCAATGTTACAACTAAACAAATCCTGATTTTTTTTTTTTTTAGTACACCCATTTTAAAGATAAGGGAAAAAACCGATTCCCAGTCTTTTCCAAACACCAGCTGCTGATTTCCAGACAGCAGGACTCAATTGAGGAGTTCTTCTTCCTGCTATTTCCAGAAGACACAACTGGCAGAAGTGTTTCATATTAATTAAATATGATTTAATATTAACTAGTATTAATATAGTGTATATATTTTATTATATTATACATATAAAATGCACATATTATCTTATATTATATTGTATATTTTTATTATGTTATTATAGAAATAATATGTTAAATAGTATTATTCTTTAAGATTAATTAAATATTAATTATTATTGATTAAATCAGCTCCCAGCTGTCACAGGACATGGCACAAACACCCGTGAGTAAAACATGGTGGAGGTGGAGGTGGAGCCCTGCCCTGAGAGACTCCTGAGGCCAGGAATTAAATGCAGATATCCTGATGACAAGTGGAAGGCTCTGATTTGAACAGAGCTGATGGAAAGGCAAGGAAAAGAGCCTGGAAGGCTGGCAGGGAAAGCACTGGAGATGGGAGAGGAGACAAGGATAACGCTCCATCAAACGCGCACAAACCTCAGCGGGCCGAGAAATTCCATTGCAAGGGAGATTTCCACAGATCTGGTGACAGCTGACAGGGAACCAAAGAGAGCCCAGGAAGCTCTGCTGTCACTGCAGGGACGGTGACAGGACCAGCAGCGAGGGATGTGCTGCTCCCACAGGTTATTCACCTGCACTTGAGACAGTTCCACCCTCCCTCCCTCCCTGCTGAGAAACTAATGCACAGCCTGAGCCTGCTGCAGTGAAACAGGGAGTTTTTATTCCTCAAATAAATGTAAACCCAAGAACAGACCCCGGGTGAGAGGCTGAGCCACCCTGGTTTTGCTCCACTAAACATTTCCTGGGTCCAGCTCGGGGCCCTGAGCTCAGGAAGGGCCTGGAGGGGCTGGAGCAGGGGCAGAGAAGAGCAGCGAGGCTGGGGAAGGGACTGGAGCCCAAGTGCTGGGAGGAGAGGCTGAGGGAGCTGGGGGGGGCTCAGCCTGGAGAGGAGGAGGCTCAGGGGAGACCTCCTCACTCTCTGCAACTCCCTGCCAGGAGGGGGGAGCCGGGGGGGAGTCGGGCTCTGCTCCCAGGCAGAGATCAGTGAGACAAGAGGGCACGGCCTCAAGCTGTGCCAGGGGAGGTTTAGGTTGGATATTAGGAAGAAATTCTTTCCAGAGAGGGTAATCAGCCATTGGAATGGGCTGCCCAGGGAAGTGGGGGATTCTCCATCCCTGGAGGTGTTTTAGGACAGACTGGATGTGGCATCAGTGCCATGGGCTTCGAACCGTGGAGGTCGTGGATCAAGGGTTGGACTTGATGATCTCAGAGGTCCTTTCCAACCTGACTGATTCTATGATTCTATGATTTCTATGATTCTATGATTCTAATATTCATTTCTTGCAGTGTTGTGAGATTTTTTGGTCTCTCAAAGGAATTTAATTTAAAAAAAATAAATATATTCTGCATTCTTAGAAGAAGCTGAGGTGGATATGAAGTGTGGTACCTGGTTATCCTCCAGGTTGATGGTCTTCAGCAGATCATGTTCCTGCAAGCCTCGTAAACTGTTCATTTTGTTGCTGGACAGGTCCAGCTTCTGTAGAGTTTTCAAGCTCTCCAGCCAGGACAAGAGGGCACGGCCTCAAGCTGGGCCAGGGCAGGGGCAGGTTGGATATCAAGAAGGAATGTTTTCCATGGAGAGTGCTCAGCCATTGGAATGGGCTGCCCAGGGAGGGGGTGGAGTCCCCATCCCTGGAGGTGTTTAAGGACAGACTGGATG